GAGAGAGAAGCAGAGAGAGGAGAGAGAGAGAGCGAGAGCAACGAGAGACGAGAGAGAGAGAGAGAGGAGAGAGAGAGAAGAACGGACGACGAGAGAGAGAGAGAGAGAGCAGACAGTGCGCGACAGCCTTTCCTATCGATCCCGTGACGTCACGGCCGCGCGCGCTCTCTCTCTCGTCTGTCGCTGCCGACATTGTACAAGCGCGCACCGTCGATAGACCCGTATAGCAGTCGCTGCACCCATGTTCAATCTCAACCTCAGAGACGGCGTTTATATGCAGCCACGTATATCCACACGGGTAACAGAAGCACGGGAGTGATAGCTGTAGCATCGAGAGCTGGGTAGGAGCGCGCGTGTGTGTATCGGTGCGGTCCCGACGCGGAGATTCTAGCCGACGAAAACGACGACTGCGACGATGGCAGCCGGTATCAGTGCCTGCAGTCAGCTCTGTAACTGTGCCGCCGCCGCTGCTGCTGCTGCTGCTGCGGCCGCTGCTGCCGCCGATGCGTTGAGGGTTCGGAGCTGCTAGCGCCATGTTATTCGGCGGAGAAACCGCATGCAGATTTCATCTACGAGCGCACGTATAGGTGAGAAGCGTTGTCGTGCGTGCTGTGGTCGTGAGATAGAGTGTTGGATGCATTGCGAGGTGATGCCCGTGGTGCAAGATGACGTGCGAGAGGACGTCTGCCGAGACGGAACCGTCGCTACTACTGGAGCGGTTTCTCTCACACCGTGTTTCTTTCTCCCTTTGTTGCAGATCGTGGACGTAGGGGACGGCCGCAGCGAACCCTCCTCGTGTGACGCCGTGTATCATCGCATCGACGTCCGTATCTCCGTAGGTCCGTCACCGGCCGTAGACGGTCAAGCTGGACATCACGCCGGCAGTGCCCGCGGGCAAACACGGAGGTTTTGTCGGCAGTAGTCCACGGAGATTACTCTCGCACGTAGCCAAGCTGGGGAAGGTACCGAAGCTGAGAATGCAGCCGTTGAGGAACGGTTGTCACGATCGCTGGACGTGGAACAAACGCGACAAGTCGCACGAGGTTCGGCTGCTAGGCACCGATCACGTGACGGCGCACTTCCATCCGAACTGGAGTAACGGTACGGCGGGAGTGCGAGGCACGCGCGCGCTCAATCACGGTCGGTACTACTGGGAGATCCACATCTCTCAGAGAATCTTCGGCACTTCGATGATGTTCGGGATAGGGACGAGGATGGCTCGTCTGCACATTGACGCCTTCGTCAACATGCTGGGCGAGAACGAACACAGCTGGGGTCTCTCGCACAAGGGCATGCTCTGGCACAACGGGAAGTGCCGACAGTATACGAAGCCGTTTCGGGAAAACGAAGCGACGACTATCGGCATGTATTTCGACTGGCAACAAGGAACGCTGACCTACTACAAAGATGGCGCGTGTCTAGGCGTCGCCTTTACAGGGCTCAATAAACTAGAAGAGGAAATCTTTCCGACGATCTGCTCCACAGCGGCGAAGACGGAGATGACACTCGGTTTGACCATGCGCGGCTTCTACGATCTTCAAGACCGCTGCCGTGCCGCCATACTTAATAACGTTGCCAACGACAACGACGTCGACGCTCTGAACTTACCGAATAAGCTGAAGGAGTACATACGACAGGGTATGAGCCTCTGACGCCAGCGAAATCTTATCTACGAAATCCTGGAAGTGTTCAACAGCCTTATACACGACATTACGGCACTGTATCGGTGACTAGGCAATATCACACAGGCAGCAAGACTTGATTACGCGCTGCTGCGGTGACGTGTCCAAGTGTGTGTGTGTGTGTTTTCTCGTGACGTCACTTCAAGTGATGTAGCAATGACGCTGTGGTGACATTGTCGTTCATGCCAAAGGCCTTATTAATCTACGATCCGTGCAATGACTGTAAATACAGGTATTCGTCCATTTGTCGAAAGAAGCTACACAGTAAAGGGACTAGTCAGATAAGATTAATTTATACGTAGGCGAAATACTGGCGAAATTATATCGAACGGCAATCGAAATTTTGCCGTGAAATGGAGGCTGTCTATATTTGTATATTTGTTGCCATTTATTTAATGAGATAGCGAATGCGACGGCGCGAACGCGTCGCAACACCTTTAAAAGACCCGTATATCGAACCAATATCGTAAGTTTTGATCTCTGGATTATATACGCTAATATATTCGCGATCGAGTCATTTATATTAGAGTCGAGTGTGGCCCAGCTGCTGGTCAGGGTGTCACACGTCTTCCTATCACCCCTACCACCACGCAGCGAAGGTCGGCGCGTGTCTCGGGGAGGGACCGAATCAGTACTAGATGCGCAGAACGCCCCCCAATAAAGACACGCAAAGGGACCAGAGACCACGGACAGGTGTTCCCCGGTCGTTGACTCTCCGTGAAACAACGGGATGGCCGAGTGTGGTATTTCATCAACCCGCATAGCAGCATCCCCCGCCCAGGCTGCTATACGCTGCACGACAGCCCGCCAACAAACACACATCGTGCGCGTGTGCCATCTGCATCGCCCGCTGGCCTTTGTTCTCGTACTACGGCCCGCACGGGCCACGCGCGCGCGCAGAACAACACTGACAACAGACAACAGGGAGTGGGCGATACATAATAGAAACTGAGATAGGCAGATTCTGTGTAGAACCAAGGCGATTATGCGAGCTAGCGTACTAAGTGACGGTGGATAAATGTACGAAGTTACGGTTTAATGTAGGCGTACGTACGTGATGCACACCAAGAGCTTTTGCGCGGTAGCTTTTTCGTGGTTATCTTTTACGATTCTACGTCATGTTCTATACTATCATGTTTCTACTCTCCCATTTTAACATCTTCCAAAATGAGCGCGCATGTGCATGGTCGTTCTTTACTAAATTTTATCTTGTAACTAGCAACATAGATCAGTAGATATATGTCCCCTGCATCTAGTAACATAATTAGCAGATAACCTCCCCCCCCCCCCCACATCCCCGCCTTTCATTATTCCTCGTCGCGATCAGCGGAGTGGTAAAAATCGCGTTTTTCGATCGCAATTGCTTTACGTCAGTCAATCTGCCGCATGAGTCCGGTCATCGTGACGTCACATGTTCAGACTGCTGTGTAGTGGGTGATGAGAAGATTCCGAAGCCTACACTGCTCGGATGTACCTCTACCCCGTGACGCACAACAGGGAGAATGACGAAGCGATGAGAAAAGCGTGTTCAGCGAGAGTATACAGAGCACGCGCATCGACGCATGCGCAGACATGACTCAGCGGCGGGCAGGATTTTTTTTTAGCTTATTGTTCAGTGGCGTTTACGGATCGTCGTGTCGCTCCGTATAATATTTATATAATTTATTGATGTAATAATGTTTTCGAGGACCGGTCATCAGAATACGTGCGTGTGCATGTGCGATAGAAGTAGATTCGTACATCTGTAGTATTTTCCCCCTCTCAACTTACTAAGCTTCTGTAACACTAATGTGAATTTTTCAAAAGAAAAGTGAAACGTCTGAAGTCTTTCGAGAAATAGCTCTCTGCGTGGGACAGTATGGCGGGAGTTACGCGCGCGCGTGTGTTCTGCTGATTAGACGGTATGATAGACAGGTGCATGCAGGTGTCTATACCGTGGGCTACCCCAGCACCTCAACTATCGATATAACCTACTAACGGTTCCTAACCACCAGCTACGTTTACTTCTGAATAACTTCCGTCTGCCAGTGTAATAAGCGTCGAGTAGTATAGGTCCTAGTAACCATCGATGTTAGGTGCGAAAAAATTTACCCCTGTCATTCGTTGACCCACCTATTCATGGCAAGGCCTTTTATTTACACGCCCAGTAAGTTAGTACAGTCCAGTTTTCCTCCGCGCGTGCTGTAAGCGAAAACTGCAAATACCTGCAATATCTATTTTCTACTTTTGTACAGATTCTCATATATCTTGTAAAATACAGTGACTATCGTGTTACAGAAGTACCGCTGTTTGCCTTTCGTTATAGTTAAAATCGTTCACGCATTCTCGTTTCCTTCGTCATTAATAAAAAATAGAAATTCTTCCACAGGCGCAAGACTTTATATAAGAACAAATTGCATCAATTTTACTGACGCGAGTCGTTAGATTCCGCCCTTAAGGTAGGATTGCAGTATCGTTACTTTGTTATTATTATTATTCTTTTTATTATCATTAAAATATCATTGGGAAATTCCTGGGAGCGCACATAGGAAGAACGACACCACGTAAAGAAAAATCAGTGAAGAGCCAAAAATAACAAATCGATAGTTTTATTGCATCACATCAGAATCTACTGGCTATATATAGACCATATATACATATATATAATATATATATAATATATATATATATGTATAATGAATAATTAATTATATATACTATAATATAACGATATATTATTTATTATTATATATATAAGCGTTCATTACCTGCCTATACAGACAGACCAACTATATCCCCGGGGCAGAAGAGCGCAACACACGAATGGTAAGAATCGCACACACGCACGCACGCGCCACGCTACATAAACACAACACACACCGACACGCACGCACGCACGCACGCACGCACGCACACACACACACACACGCACACACACCCTCACTACTTTAACACCTTATAAAGCCGTACACACGGCTACAGTTTCCCGACAGAGCGCTCGCATGTGATTAGCTCTCATCGCATTAAAAGCACAAACCCCAACTGCAGCTGTGATTCGCTGCAGAACAATGAGTCATTAGTGTGCGAGCGAGACAAGCAAGCGCGACAAGGCGCCAACAAAGAATCTACGACTACTACGTACTACACTCACTGCGTACGCGTGCGGTAGCAACCCCCCCCCCACGTCCCCTTTATCTCCTCCAGTGTTACGCGCGTTACTGCACCGCGCTCCCTCCTCTTCGCATCACTACTCTCGATTGGTCGCTCTGTGTCAATAGCGTCGAAGAGTGCTGTTTGCTTTCTGACCAGCAGTACATGAATGTTTGCCCTACACAAGATGCGCAGTCGGATTTCCCATCAACAAGCGTGCGTTGTTTATTTTTAATTAGCGATGTCTGGAATATATTTCCCAGGGGTAACGAATAAAGGAAGATGTGTTGTAAAAATCTAATTAGTAGGATTATGAAGCATCCGTGTGTGCGTGGAAGCATGCGTGTGGGTATTGGTGAATGGTCTCAGACTAATCAACCAACTGATATGAATAAATTATGGTTAATAACGATATTATATGTTACACTGTAACCATTAAAATGTTAGTTAGAATTGCTATGCTATAAAAATAGGCAGTAAACTGACGGTAAAAAATTAAAAGCGGATTTATTTTACAGACACTACTTCACAAAAACGGACAAACAATATCGAAGTAATGTACCCAACTGCCATAAACTATGTACAGAAAATTTCACTCTAGTCTATCAACGTGCCTAGGGATTTTATGCCATTACAACATATTATGGTCAGCTTACTGCTCTGCGGTCTCTATGGCAACCGTGCCCACACAGCTGGTTCATCAAACAGCTATTTTGTAACACTCTACTATATGCATACAGTACCAATCCTTATTCCAATCCAATCCAATCCAATCCAATCCAATAAACACTAGAAACATTGTGGGATAACTGATTATAAAAGGAAGTGGGAACTTCTACCAAAGTGGTATGTACAAGTGACATCTGCTAAGTATTTTTAGCTGGTACCCATATTCTTGTTTTTATTCCTTTTATGCCTATTTCTGCCTTCTTTTCTCACATGCGTGCTCTTCTGATCAACTTTTTTACTTTTTTTACACGATAGTGGATTTGGGCCCTTAATCTTCTTTCTCCTTATCAATTTACTCTGAGGTTCCTCTAGACCAGCTGATCTCTTCAGTTGCAGTATCGTTCCTTTTTGCTCTTCGGCCGGTGCCACGCTGCCCCGTGCCAACTCATCTGCCACCTGGTGGCAATGTTTGGAAGGTTTATCTAGAACAACAGTGTTCATGTAGATAAAGAGGAGAGGAGTACCCGGAAGACTTGCAGCGTGCTCGGTTAACGTTCGGTCCTGTGAACGAAGAGAACAAGACCGCAAAATTACTTTCAATGCGATTCACTCCGTGCATGCTACGCTGTACGTCGGTCAACTTAAATAGATCAACGTATCTTTGTTAGCATGTTCTTTCGAGTTAGAAACGGTTATTTTGAAAGTTGTAGCACCGTTATCCGTTAAGCATAGACATTTAAACTTGTAAAACTGCCAGTATAAGGTCACCTGTTACATGTACCTGTGTCGCGATGAAATATTTATGCGGGTTGTCTTTACCCAACATCTTTTGTAGACATTTATTTGCCGACAACGGCTGCTTTCTGTCTTTGTGGCCACAAGGTAGCACAGGAAACTGCTTTAATATTACCAATGCCCCGTAGACAGCCTTTCCTGCAACAAACATAGTGGAAGACACGTATTACATCGCTACCAAAAACCGACCATACATATACGTTATATGCTAATACACGCATACAGGAAACAGTGCAAATGAGGAAAAATAAGGCCACTGCTTTATAAACCCAGCTTTATTAGTGCATACACGTGTTATATGCAAATATGTGCACATTTGCAAATTTTGCATGAATTCATGCAGTATATTAGAGTGTACACAATCATGCAATACATACATGTTTTAGAGATGTATTTTGAGTTGGGATACGGGATAGGTAAGTCACAAACCTGGAAAACCGTATGTTATGTTATATATGTTTCAGTGCGTGTTTGTACCAGACAATCAGAATGCAGAACGATATAGTTACTATAACTATTTTTATTCACATAAATGCTCAGCCGCCATGATGCAATCCCCACATTCCTATTATCCACTACAGATGGCAGCACCAGATGGTGTATGACTAAACCGAATAATTCTGTCCCATATAACCTTTTTTATATTTTGGTGAGGGTTATTGGGACAGAACGGGGTGCATGGAATTTCGTGAGATCGCATGCAAAATGCATGCGCTGCTAATGCGACCCGTACGCCGCTAATGGCGCGAAAAAAAACCTACCGTTCCCTTCTACATGGCTTTACCTTGCTACTGATATGTGTATACATTCACTTCAATCGTTATTCACTTCTTAGAAAATTGTTTTTCAGAAACCCCGCTTCATTTCACTTTAGTAAATTACACTCGCCATTTACAAACAATCAGACCAATCAGAGCGAGTCTTACAATAGCCTGGTTCTCGCTTGTATCTGTGGCGCTGCAGGAAGGCTGATAGACTCGCTCTGATTGGTCTGATTGTTTGTAAATGGCAAATGTAATTTACTAAAGTGAAATAAAGCGGGGTTTCTGAAAAACAATCTTTTAAGAAGTGAATAACGATTGAAGTGAATGTATACACATATCAGTAGCAAGGTAAAACCATGTAGAAAGAAACGGTAGGGGTTTTTTCGCGCCAATAGCGGCGTACAGGCCGCATTCGCAGCGCATGCATTTTGCATGCGATCTCACAAAATTTCTATGCACCCCGTTCTGTCCCAATAACCCTCACCAAAATATAAAAAAAGGTTATATGGGACAGAATTATTCGGTCTAGTGTATGACCAGATCTGGGATTGTTACAATATATACCTATCGATTCTAATTCTTGTAAAACACACGATGTCGTTGCCAGCTTAACTCCTGGTCCAATATACTTCGGTAATTGCTCGTTAATGTTGATCTTGCCTCTAAGTGCAGCCTGTGAGAATGTTCCATCTAAAAGAACCTAAAACATTGGAATTATAAGGCTATGAACAATATTGTTAGTGCTCACCACAACATGATAATACTCTGCGGGAATTGGAAGTTCCTATACAATGAGCTGCTTGTGCCTCCATTCTCCAATACCACCACCAGGTGGCGAGACTAACGTCAATACACAGCTGCATGGACACCCATCCTGTTGAACAAACCACGGAGCTAAATATAACAAGGAAAGGAAGCGCCGCCATATCTGGCCCAAACCTTTGCCATATTTGGCCATATTAGCCTAGAACAGATTAGTGTTCTATTGTCTCTGGGTTCGGGTCTGCACAGCCGTTTCAGCTGATTATGGTCCATAGATGGCGCACTTGAGGCAAAATGCATACAGCCAATCCGCTTCCTCTCCTTGTTATATTTAGCTCCTTGGAACGAACAACCATGTCACTGTACACAGATGCTATAGCCTTTAAATTACAGCTACATTGCCATTGGTTTGCTGTACGTTGGCCTATTGGCATTGCAGATGTATGACATGACTCATGACCAGGACCCTCACTGTGGCTGATAGGGTCTATGTCCCCAGGGGTACTGCCGGAACGTACCCAGGTACTATAATATATGCCAGACCGTACCTCGCCTACTCCACTAACGAGTCTAGGGAGTCGCCTACGCCTACTCCCTAACCCTAATCCTAACCATATCAAATAGTCACCAGGGTACGTTCTGGTATACTGGACCGTACCCAGGGTACGTTCCGGTATACTGGACCGTACCCAGGGTACGTTCCGGCAGTACCCTGGGGACATAGACCCTATGAGCCTCACTGTGGAAAAGAAGCAGTGTAAATGTAGCACCGGCAGCTGTGTATGCTAATAAAATGGTTTAAATATCTCCGTCCATAATATGATTGGTTCAAGGATAGAGAACATGGGTCCCAATAAAACCAATGTCATTTACATCAATATAAATATAATATTATATCAATATAAATAGGTTAGGGTTATGGTTAGGGTTAGGATTAGGGTTAGGGTTAGAATTAGGGTTAGGGTTAGGCACATTGGTTTTATTGGGACCCATGTTCTCTATCCTTGGGCCATATGATTTATAATATCACATCCCTATCAGCAAACAGCAGTGAGGTAGAGAAGTACCTGGAAAGGTGCTTGGATGTTGAAATGCGTCTTGTAGAAACTCAATATCCTTTTAGCATGTTTTTGCCTTTTTAGCTTCATCTCTGCCGTACAATATACCGCTTATTAGTGCGTTACAGGCCCATCGAGTATAAAATTAAACTGACTGTATCATGATCAATGAATCAATAATAAGAGATGTAAAGGACAGACAACATAACAATTATCAACACGCGTGTTCCCACGTCTAGATTGATTACGAACACAGGACGCTGAAGCGTGAAGACGGGTTATGGCCGCCCCGTAAAATAGGCAACCGCATATAACGTTATCAAAAATATTGCTCAAAAATCTAAACCACTGTACCGAAAAAACTGAATCTAGTCTTTAAGTAAAACTTACAGTTTTAAATAACACAGTGGAGTGTAGTTAAATAGGTTTGATCTTTTTACAAATATCTATAGAAGAAGAATGAGATTCTAAACATGGCCATGGGGTGAATGATATGCTTCTCTTCGGCGGTTGGAAAGCAAAGCAGCATGGCAGCTCCCAATACGAAACGGATTGTATATGTCGGCAAGTTATATTTGTTATCGTATAACTGCAATTATGCGTTATGAGAATTACTTCGGCTGCTTATTAAAGCTATACTACTATCATTACTACTACCGGCGATACAAAATCATTCAAGCAATACTTTGTAATGTTACATGATGATGGTACAGGGCGCGATGATATGTCACTTTTGTCAGGCACTACAGTCTGTCTACAGTAGGCCCGCCTAGTACATACGCATATACATTTGAGGGCCGTAGCACTGCGACTAGCAGAGGAACATGACGGGAAATTCTCGCGCGTAGCAATGGTGAGATTAGAAACAGTCGGAAACGGGCGAGTAGTGTCGCTTAAACGCAGTTTTTCCGCCCTTCCTGTAAACTCGCATAATGTTTGTCGGTCGAAAGTAACAAACAACACCCTCAACAACACCCTTGTCGATTTTAAAGGGACTACCCCCACATTTACGAAAATGACGTAGGTCTCAATCTAGACATCATCTCTATCCTTGAACCCTGTCTGCAGTGGCAGTGTCAGATTACACTAATTACTATTATTAGTACTACTAGTACTACTAGAGCCACCTTGCGAAGGCAAGGGCAATGTCATTGTCACTGCCATTCAGGCAACGCCAGTCGAATCGGTGACTAGTGTTGTAGCGTAGCCTTCACGAACAGATCTGCATTCGATCCTACTCCTTGCTGTAGTGCATGGCAAGCTAGTCATTGTAGCAACAGGCAGTGATTAGCTGAATTATGTCATATGTGGCATAATGTGCCTCCACATTGGATTCGTTTCGAATCCACCTCACTAGCCAGGTTGGATCAGGTGGAACGTATTCAGTGGATCCCATCGAACAAACGACCAGTTTATGGGACCAGTGTGATTCAGATCTTATTATCATTTTCATATAAACACGCCCTCAATCATAAATCCTCTGAGGTGAATCAGATTGGCCTGTTCTACAGCGAAGTACAAGATAAAGCAGTAGCATTCCGTCACAGGGTTTATGTTATTGTATTCATAAGTTATATATGCGCTGAGTTTATTTTGCACCCTAGGTTATAAGATTGTTGAACCCATGACAGCAATTTTTGGACAGTTAGAAATGTTACTATTTACTAGTACTATATAGTGGCTTAATTGTATTAAATTTTTTCCTTTTTTTAGGCGGCTTGGCCGAGGAAGTTGATGACAAAGTGCTTCATGCTGCTTTCATCCCATTTGGAGACATAGTAGACATACAGATTCCACTAGACTATGAGACGGAAAAGCACAGGGGATTTGCGTTTGTGGAGTTTGAAGCAGCAGAAGATGCAGCTGCTGCTATTGACAATATGGTAGGTAGAATTTATGCAATTTGTGGTGAGATTAGTCGTTAAAGGAAAAATCTTTTTGTGTGAATATGTATATTGATGACCTATTATAGATTTTTCTATCAGCTATATTTATTACTCCAGAATGATATATATATATAGACAAACTGACCATTTTTGCGGCATGTTTTTTGTAAATTGCTTACAAGTTGTACTTACATAGCACCAGCTTGTGTCTGACTGAAATATACATACCTTAGTAACCTTACAAATACATACGCACACACGTATATATATATATATATATATATTGTGGTAATGTTTTAGAATGAATCGGAGCTCTTTGGAAGGACAATACGGGTAAATCTAGCCAAGCCAATGAAGATTAAAGAAGGCTCTGTAAAGCCATTGTGGTCACAGGATGATTGGTTGAAGGAGCATGCTGGAGAAAAACCGGACGACGACGAAGAAAAAAAGGAAGAGAAAAAGGAAGATACAGAGGGTGAAAAGGAGGGTGCAAAACGACCACTGGAAACAGAGGAGGTCCGTTTTAATGCAGTATTTATGTCAGTATTGTCATTTATACAGCTGTAATTTCTAAGTGAAAGTCGTGAATTTTTAATTTGCTTATTAAATTTGTTACACGAACGTTTTTATCTTCAGGAAGCAGAACCGGTGAAGAAAAAGCAGAAGAGCAACGCCCAGGTGTATTTCGAAATAAAGATGGGCAGTCGATCGCTGGGGCGAATCGTAATGCAGCTAAGAGCTGATGTTGTGCCAATGACTGCAGGTTTGTGAGAATTTCCACTTCACACCGGTCACTACGTAGTGAAGAAGCTATTCAATCTTTGCATCATCTTTTAATTGTGTTGTGGTATTTAAAATTCCATGTTGAATTGATTGTACAATTTTAGTTGTGTAAAATTGATTGCTTTGATAAAGTAAATAGAGATATCCTTCAATATTAGTATGGGCCATATTCTACTGATTAATTTGGTTATTTTCAGAGAATTTCAGGTGTTTGTGCACAAACGAAAAAGGTTTTGGCTTCAAGGGGAGCAGCTTCCACCGAATTATACCACAATTTGTATCCATTTGTGATAGCAGATTAGAATGTAGTTCATGCTTGCATGAAAAAACCACGTGTTACTTATATTTTCAAAACAAAAATGCCTCATGAGAAAGTTTAGCAAGTAATGTAACCTGTTTGGAACATTCTAACAGGAAACATATTCAGTTTGAGATAACCGCTATTATAAAACATTGCTCATTAATTAGCTGCAATTAGCGATGGCATTTTTTCTGTTAAAAATATTCTCTTTGACCTGATGTTGGTGAAAGATGTGCCAGGGTGGCGATTTCACTAATCACAATGGCACAGGAGGCAAGTCCATATACGGAAAGAAGTTTCAAGATGAAAACTTCATATTGAAGCATACTGCACCAGGTAGGAAAAGCTGCAACTGCTGGTTCATGATATACAATATTGCACATAACCTTGTTACAGTTATTGTATGGACGGGTTCTTCAGTGGTGTTTGCCAACTGCAAAGAGTGGTGTGTGATTTATTGTTTGTAGGTACACTTTCGATGGCCAACTCAGGACCCAACACGAATGGATCTCAATTCTTCATCTGTACGGAGCAAACAGATTGGCTTGATGGAAAGCATGTTGTGTTTGGATCTGTTATTGAGGGAATGGACATTGTTCGAAAGATGGAGGTAGGGGTGGAGTGGTGTACTGTAGCAGTGTTTGAGTGAGAAAGTTATTGATTGCATGCAACTCATGCAGTAGTAGTGTTATTTGAGATCGTACACAGACTTGGGTTGTCCTACTAGTATCTAGAGAAGAGGGGGTGAAATTAATAATCTAGTGTTAGTTTATTTATCCATCTTGTTGTTGCTTCTCTTCAGGGAGCTGGATCCAAGTCAGGAAAACCGTCCCAGAAAATTACGATAACCGATTGCGGAGAGCTTTAGTTGCGATACGATCCAATTCTAGTTGATCTGGCAGCAGGGTATTCATGCCTGCAGTCTACTTAGCTGGAGAGCTATATAGAAGGGTGCAATGATCGCTTCTTTGCAGTGTATGCCAATTCTGATGCATTAGTAGTTTTGTTACTTGATTTAATTTAGTAATTTTAGTTAGTTCCAGTGAGTTGTTGTACATAGCAAAGCTGGTAAAGATAGTCCTAGTGTTTTAGTCTATTTATTGTAGCTTGTGTGGTCCTGTACCGCCACAGGTCACCACTAAACCAAGCTCGCCAATTGTAAAAACGTGTTACAGCTCTTCCTGTTATACTTTATATCTGGTTGCTTTCGGCTAGTGGTAACAAGCTAAATATATCGAATGACACTTTCTCTCATTAAATTAAATTCGTCTGCAATGATCAGTTTAAGTTGAGTGTCTAAACAAGAGAACAGGTGAAAAACTATAAATTGTTTGGAAATGCGAACACAAGTAAAATACAAGTAGTTTCAACCTCATTGTAAAAATATATTTACCTACAAACCCATAGAAACGGTTTCAATAATCATGGCAATAAATAACATCACGTGGTTCATTGTCAGAGTAGTCATAAGGCTGTGGTGAAACTTGCTAGTGTTACAATATAACAATAGCATTAACAATAACATTAACAATAACAATAACAATAACAATGGCTGTCTTGAATGAAATGGAATTTGGAAATCTTTGAGAAAAAGACGAATAATCTCTATATAATTGACATTTTGTCCATATGTAATGGCATTCACTTGATAATTACATAGAACAAACTAGAAACCAGTTCAGGTCCTATTTTAGAGTTTGGAACAAATTTACTAGGCATTGAAATGGTCCTAGAGATATGATAACGACAAAATGCTGATAATAAGCCTTGGGACTGCTAACCGTTCTGACAATGTTCCTGTAATTCTATAATTATAAATGGAAAATAAATTGTTTTGAAACGCACATACATTTATAGTTCGAATCTCTGGATTGTTTGTAAAATACATTGCATTTTAGATTTAAAAAATTCTTTCTAGAAAAAGATTTGTTATTATATGCCATTGTAGTTCCGTGACAGAAACTTGTTTTGTTTCTTTTATCTTTTTTTGTATTAATTTTATGTATTTCGTAAAATATAAAACCTATGCAGAGAACTAAAAACGTACAGCTCTTGTACTCATAAACCATATAAAACACTGTTTTTATACAATTAATACTGTTAACAACAATAAACGTTTTTATCTTAGCTAAAGTACATTTCATTGTGTTACAAACTATAAATGGCATAGCATGCCATCCACAGAATTGCACGAGCTGGCAAGTTTGTCTGCGATGGAAAGGTTGGGGAAGGGAGTCAAAGATTTCTGATGACTTTGGTACGAAAAAATTGGCAATACAAAAAATACAATTATTCTGTTTAAACATAGCTTAATTTTTTAGTTTTAGATAATTAGATAACTAATATATACTTACAGATATACGACCTAGCAAACTATAGCCACCAATGATCCACACTGATGATACTATTATATATGATCTACTGTTACAATGCAATGCAAGCTACGTGCAACACTCTTTCATGATAGTACATAAAACGTAGTACACTCATAGTACACTCTTTCATGATAATACGCAACATACATATATAATAGCATAGATAAACGATATAACAATATATAAGTTAAGCATGGGACCGTGTTATCATAATTAACGTATTCCACCACGTTAAAAAAACGGATACGAAAAAAACTATTACACAGCAAACTCGAATATCTCAGACTGTTAGATGGCAAGATTATACAAACGGAAATAAAAAAAAGTAACAAAAAATACCAATCAAATGTAAAATATTGTAAATTAAATTTCACACTTAATTTGATAAAGGCCATTTAAAACTTCATTTCTTTGTCTCTTCCTGATCCTCTTCTGTTGTTGTCCGATAGGAAATGCTCTTCATCAGACAGCCAGATAATCAAGAGTTTACCGCAATAACAAATGAGATCACCTTGGTATATAACCATGACAAATTGTAATAACAAATAAGGGGCACGAGAAAAAGAATGGTTAACGATGGGGTTAGAAAATACCAAAGTCAAAATATGAGATTACGCAGTGCATACAATCTGACCTAACACTCGCCTGATGCGTGGGTCTCGACTGTGACTTCCTCGTTTAACCACCCGCCCAACACTCCCAGCCCCTTCCCACCTACCCACCCAACACTCCAACCCCCTCCCCACCTATAGCGCCTGTACGTGATTCGCGTGGCCGTTAGCCTGCAACGGGCCGTCGCTCGTACTCGTCCCATGCGCCGGCAGTAACGACTTCTCCCGCGTCAGTGTCCCGGTTCTGGCTTCCACCATCTTGTAGTGGGTGTAGAGCAGGATGCCGAGCAGCGTGAGCGCGATTCCGAAGCCCTGCGAGATGCGGATGCTGTCGCCGTACAGCAAGAATCCGCCGACGAGGATGCTGGAGAACTTGAAGTGACCGATCATGTTGTAACTGCAGATC